GGGGGGGGGGGGGGGGAAGATATGCTGGAAAGCAGAAAATCTGGTTCTTTACTTCCTTTTCTTTCTGCCCAGTTTTTTTCCTCTTTCCTACACATATCACATCATGGGGGGCTTAAGACATCAAGGGGGATGCAGCGAGTCAGAGCAGACTAGGCTATGGGTCTTAATTGCACAATGTCAGGGGATGAACACACACGAGTCACTCGTGAGGCAAATTAGGATGTGAACGCACAGCACGTCAGCTACTCCACGGGAACTGCCCATGTGCACGCACTTTGCCTGCATTACCCGGGAGATCGTTTAGCCCGCTTCCAGCGAGGGGAAGCTACATCTGCTGCAAGGCAAGAAACAAATGCACATCCTGTCTCATGGAGCAACTTGTGTGTGTGTTCACACCATAAGACTGGAAGAGACCTTCTAGATAAACCCCTTCAATCGCCTGTTACTGCAGGCAGCCACACCACATAATCCCTTTCAGAAATGTATCAAGCTACATCTCAAGCCATACACAGCACAAGAGCTTCATTTATAGCTCCCATTTACATGTTTCTAAACATCAAAATCCTTCATATTTTTAGATGAAGTCATTGATGCACGGCCTCTGTTTTAAAAGTCAACTTTCTTTTTCCTCCTCCTGCAAAGTTTGTGCAAGAGCCTTTTGTGCCTTTTTTGATGTCTGGTGCATAGAATAGATAGAAGAAATTTCCCATTGTGAAAAAAAGTGTTGCTGCCTGTTGCCCCAGGTCATTAAAATGCCTGCTGTTCTCCAACAGCTGGCAGGTGTAGAGAAGCCTGGCAGGTACGTAGGGCAGCATACATGGTCCTCACTGAGGAAATGATCTATTGTCTAGGTTAAAAAAAAGGAAATGTAATGAGACATCTTTTAAAAAAGAGATGTTCCCAGTTTGATACAAAAATAAGTAGGTGATGAGTGTTAGGCAGGTTACCTGAAGATACAGTGGTCCCCTTAGATTTCGCTATAGCAGTGTTGTGCACAATTTTCAAACTTCCCTTTTATTTTGTCTCTGATAAACAAAGAGGTGTGCCCATAAGGCTCAGAGTCTCCCCAGGATTTAATTCACTATGCAGAAGTCTCTGGTAATAGGCCTTTATCCCATTTTTATTTATTACCATCTGAAACATCCACTTCTGGAAAGGTCATTCCAGCAAATCTAATTAGGTTGCATGGAAATTCCCTATTTCTTCTTCTTTTTTTTTTTCTTCAAAGCTTTTGGCATTTACATCCCTCTTAAAGATCCACTTCTGGTAAATGACTAACAGTGACTCTCCACGAGCAGTACAAAACTCCTTCCTTGGTTCCCTGTGGCCTAACCTCTGTCCGTCTCTCCTTGGACTATAAGCTCTTCAGGATAAGGACTGAAAACAGCCAGCACATTGTGGGCACCATCATAAACGCAGGCAGAATATTAAATGCCATGTATAGCTGAATTGGAAAAAAAAAAATCCTTTTACTTAGATAAAGGAGATCCTGGAGAATGAAAGCTACTGATTGCTTAGGCTGAAGACATGTGGGTAATCCCTATAATAGCACAAGCAGCCTCTGAAAGCAGCCAGCCATTAAATTAACAGTACTCCTGCATTAACTAGATCACGTACACTGTTTATAGTACACCTTTACTTCTGCTTCCAAGGTAGCTTTACTGCACAGGGAGGCCTATTCCCAGAGGCTGCCGAATGCAGCCCACTCCCACGCATTTAAACAGGAGGCTTGGTGCTTTACTGACTGGACTCCGGACAGTCTGATCTGTGGAACTGCAGACACGCAGTGACAGAGTGTGCTACAAACACATGCTCTCCTCTTCTTGATCATTCTGCATTTTCATGTGCATTCAGCATCCACCAGATCCCACCATTTACTATGATCCCCTGCTGATCAGCGCAGGTTTTTGGAGAGGCATGTTGATAGACTGAGCTTTTCTTCCTTCCTTCTTTCTTCCTTTTTTTAGGTCACCCTCTTATTCTCTTTCTAAGCGGTGTCCACTGGAAGGTTAATTACAAAGTTATTACCTGAAGTACAGGTCATCACAGTGATTATCTGAAAGCATAACCTAAATGCATTTACTGCCATCATCTTGCTGTGCTCGAGGCTGCGTTGGTTTGGTCTATTTAAAATGGTTGATGTTGTAATAAACTCTTTCCACCGAACTCCAAGGAGGTGTTTACTGTGGAATGAACTGATCCTCTCACATACTATTGTGGATTTCCATGAGTCTCCTTCACAGCAGGGAAGACACGATGGCAATGTTCAAAATTCACATTGCTGTGTCAGTGCCTCTTGTCGTGCTTCTTTTCCAAATCATTTGCCATTTGAGAGAGTGGTTTGCAGCTTTTGCTCTCTGTTTGCTATTTGTCATCTAGTATGGTGTCACTGTTACACCCCCAGCTTGCTGGATAGGGAAAATGGATTTGTGTCTTTTAATCCTTCCCCATCTACTCTGCCAGTTGCTTTTGGAACATTAAAAGCCTTATATATATTTTTTGCCTTCCCTTTACTCATGTACAAGCCAGCTCATTTTGCTGTGCCTTTTCAGAGCTGGTTGTTCTCTTCTGTTGTATGATGGGCTGAAGCAAGCAGGGCTGCATCTTCAACAACACTGAGGTCATCCATGTGTTCTCCCATTTATCTATGAAACGCCTTCGTTACCTTCCTCATGACTTGCCTCATGGCCCACGCAAATAATAGCGAGGTTATAACCTGCCCCTGCTTTACTTGTCACTGCAAACACTTGGCTGGCGTTGTCACCACTTCTGACTGCCTGCACATTTGACATCATCCTGATTTCTCAGCACCAACCCTGCTAAGTAGGTGGAGTTTTTCGGAGAGAACGTGACAGAGCAGGATGCGTTTGTAATGAATTACAGCTCCATTTTACTACTCAGTGGGCACGTCTACACGTGCACCCGACTGTGCAGCTGTTACGGAGCAGACATTTAGTGCGTGCTTTAGGCAAGGTTGCAGATGAGCTGAAGGGGCAAGATCAGATGGCGTGAGGCGGTGGTATCACAGGTCCTCTGTTATTTTGCAAAGACCTCCAACTCTCAAGTGCCTTGTAAGAGCATCATTGCTGTGGTTCAAGTCCTTTACTACACCTGTGCTCCTCGTCTTCCAGCCGTCTCATCCCAGAAGCACTGAAATCAAGGCCCAGACTGATCACAAGATTGATCACAGCTGAGGTGGGGAGGCATCTCCCATGTCTTTTCCTGTATTTGAGTTGGCACCCTTCCGTCTGCAAAAGACAGTAGGTATCGCAGCCTACGACGTAGGTGGTTTGCAGTGTCTCATGTGACTAAACAGTCCCATCTGAGATTTGCATGATCTGTGGCAGTGGTTGCAAGTGTATGTGTTGTGGTTGGGTGGATCGCAAGCTGCTTGTATCTGATGGACCCTCTTCTCTTCAAGCTGTAGGAGCCAATTTCTGTCGTGGACGTCGATGCCCTGGTGGAGATGATGATGCCACTCATTCCTAATCACTTGCCAGGGTTTCCCCATCATTTCAGATCAGTTCCAAATGCCTTCATATCTCGCTTGCACGCGTCTTTGTAACGAAGCTTGGGACATCCTGTTGTTCTTGTTCCCTCCAATAGCATGTCCTTGGGTATACGCCCATCTTCCAGTCTGCTCAAAATGGCCTAGCCAGTGCAGTCATCTCTGCATAGGGCTGTCACACTCCTGTATTTGTGGCATGGACATGCATACTGTGACGCTAATTTAAAAGGAAGGGAAGGGGGCTTCACACCATGCAGATGAATCCAACGTAGCTCTTTCCTTCAGGGATAAATTACAGAGATTTACCTTTGCTTACTGCAGGGCAGGAGCAGACAGATGAAACACTTGAACCAGATTAGTTAACACTCACTCCTGGACCAGTATGTCCTGTAAACCAGTGGAATTGTGCATCTCCCCTTCAAGTGAGAGCCCATAGGGCAGAGCAAAGCAATGGTGCCCTATACAAGGGCAAAGAGGAGCAGGGGCAAGGAAAGAAGACAACAGCGTGTGCATAAAGCTCTGAGTTTTGTGCCGAGAGATCAGAGTGCCCCTTAACTTCCTCTCTTACTTGAGGCATCTCCTCTCCAAGCACTTCAGAGTTGCCAGGGACAGATCTTCAATATCATGGACCATGATTCATGGTGCGCCTTGCTTTATTTTGGCTGTCCTTGTAACATGCCTGCTTATCTACTACCTTATGAAGTTAGGGATCTCATTGTAGCTCTCTGGCCCTGGAAAGAGGCAATTAAAAAAAAACAAACCCCAACCCTCCTCGCCCCAAACCCGCCCCCCCAAAAACCCACTGCAACAACCCCAAGTTCTCAGACCCTCTGAAATGAGGTCCTCCCCCAGGCATGGCGGAGAGACAAAATGCTGATGCTACCTGGGATACTCTAGTCTGCTTTCTGGAAGCCACCACTTGCATCCTCTGCTGTTTCTAGAGAAGCCATTCAAGACACTTCTGAGCTAATCACTTCCTTTGGGGAAGTGAATTTCCATTTTAATTAATTGGATAATTCAGAATTACAGGGATAAAATTAACCAGCAGCCTCTGGTTGCTGTGCCACCTTGGACCATTGTTTTAAAAAACATGATATATATATTTGTTCTGAATGTGCTCAGAGCTGATGCTAAATCAGGATGATGTCACAACGACGGACAAATAACATCATTATGGACAATGGAGTTCCCTACCTTAAAAGGCCGAAGCCTGACCCCGCAGGCGAGCGTCAGCCTGAATTCCAGCTCAACAGCCGCGGATGGGCCCGTGTGCTTTTCAAAACAAGCCGCTTGTAACACCGAGATGAAAACCTAACCCAGCGAGGAGCGGAGGAGAGCGCGCGTGGCCGCAGGGGCTCGTTTGA